CCCAAACAAAAAATATTGACTCTTAAAATTTAATTTTCAAGAGTGGGAAGGGAGCCAGAGGACAGTTGTCCCTGGATGTTTCTTGAACCCATCTGTCTCCTGGAACTGTACTGATAGAACCATCTTACTGGAACTCTGTCTCTGGAACTATGCTCTTGAGTCCCTCCCCACCCATGACTTTATTCAAAATGGTTTCTTCAGCTTTCGATGGGAAAGCACAAGCTTGGCTCCACCCTGATCTAAACAGACCATCTAACCTTTTCATCTCTAGCTCTAGACTATCTCATTCACCTAAGGTTAATCATTCTTCCCAATCCTCATTGTGTACATGGAGATAGGTGGGCTACCTGACAGCTCTTTGATATGTTAATCTTCAAGCATAGACACACTCATTCAATCTTTATCCTTTGAGTAGAGTGCCAAATTGAGGTTGCCAAGGAAATGAGATCAGGTGCCCAGGTGACAAGGTGCAGGAGCACATGGTTTTGCTGGAGTTAGTTAAAAATCATTAGTCCAGATTATTATAAAAGCCATTCTTACAAACTGGGGTCCTCTGCAAAAGTAGCCAATCTCTTAACCACTGATTTTATCTCACCAGCCCCGAGAAGAGAAGCTATTATCCCTGATTTCTTCTGTGTTTTCCACCAAGGCTCTTTGTATAGATTTTAGGGTCATCTTAATGTGCCTTCTCTTCCATAACCTCAGAGTGCCACTTTAAGCTCAATCTCATGTAGATGAATGGCCTGTGATATTATTTGTTTACAACCACACACAGTCAGAGCACTTTGCATTTGGCCACATGACTAGCTTTGAGGAATGCTGTATGAAGTATCCACATAAAAGCAGAAAACAAATATAATTAAATGGTTTGGTCCTGAATTTACCAGTTAATATTTATTCATATTTTAGCCCATAATGTACAGCAGACCCACAATCCAGGAACAGAGGCCCAGAATGGCAGGACTTTCGCACTGACTCAAAATTAATATAGCATGAACAACAAATCAAACTTCCTTGTGAGCCACGGAGATTTTTGAGATTGTTTACACTGAGCATGTCTGCAGTCAGAGCTGACTGGCATGAGAAGTTGCTGCTTTTCTAAAAATGTTTCTTGGGGCTGGAGAGATGGCTCAGCGGTTAAGAGCACTGACTGCTCTTGCAGAGGACCCGGGTTCAATTCCTAGCACCCACATGGCGGCTACGCACCGTCCTTGACTCCAGTTCCCGGGAAATCCGAAGCCCTCTTCTGATCTCTGCGGCATTGCACCACGCCTCTGATTACTTGGAAGAATTTCTTAAGTGCCGTCACCTACACCTTAAGCCAAACTTCTCAATCTACCACCACTCCTGGACTTACTCTAACCAGAGTACTTGGCCATTCCAGGTCCTGGAGTAGCTGCTTATTGCCCACAGCTGGCCATCTACACTGCTAATCCCTGTGACTTTTCATCCTCGTCTCCATTGTTACGACACGATTTCAATAAATGAACTCACTCCAGCATTTTCTTTAACATGCCATTCCTTTATAAACCTTGAAAAATGCAACTCATTAACGAAGCCTCCATAGATGCCATGACTTTTTAAAAAGCTTTTTTCAAAATCTAAAGTACATTACCAAATTATGGAATCGCGTTTACAAATCAAAATGACAGCTATTTGCCTTTCTCTTCCCTCAGCATTTTGTGGGCAAATTTACATTAGTGCGTATTTACCAAAGTATAATCTTTTTTGGTTCTTATATCCTAGCTAGTCCAGGCTCCTCAAGGGCAGAGGCCGTTCATACCCAGTTCATTAAACTCAGCTCTCACTGCTAACTCTGCAGGTAAGTCAGAGCACATGCACCGAATCCCTCATGAATTTTAACGGGGGTCCTGATTAATGGGAGCTGGTTTGTGCTAGAAACACTGAAATGCAGGACACTCAGAGGTGCCTGTAGATCATCGCATCCCTCGAACCGACACATTGTTATTCTTCCTTCTCTTACACCTGTGATTTTTACTTCAGTCATAAACCAGAAAGAAGGCAGGACTCCAGCCATGCTGTTCTGGATTCCATCCCCTTCCTAAGTTGTGGCAGATCGCTTTCCTTCTGGGTGAATGCGGTATGAGGTTCAGACACTGAAGAGGGTCATTCCAGATTCCCAGCCTGTATAAAGGCTATGAAGTCATTCCAGTGTTGAAGAAAGTTATCCTCGCCTCCTTGAGGCTAAATCAGTTAGTCCACTGGAGAGAAATCAACTCTTTTCTCTAAAGGACATGAGTTATTAGATGTCTCAAATTATCCAATAGCATGTGATCCTCAAGCAGCCCTTTCAATGTTCTCATCAATATCTCCCCACTGTTTTAACCCTACTTGAGAAATCTGTTAGACATTATATTCAAGGCTAAAATATAAAAAGTGAATGAATATGCACCAGTGTTTCCCCATTCATAATATTAGTAAGTAGTCGCCACATCGATCACATTTATTGATGATTGAAACTAGTAGCAACATAATGATGACTTCATTTATAGTTTATGATATCTGAGCTCATTCTATGTAGGAATGACTTTTACAATATAGAATATAGAATCTGGGCTAATGACTTTTACCTAACCTTACAACCAAAAAGTTATAATATGACCAAGTTCACGGAGCCATGTGCTCCCCTTACAACCTGGAAACCTGACCTTAATCCCTCAGGACCCAATTTAGCCCTCCACCTAAGATGGTGAATAAATGTGGGTGTGCATGGTTACCGTCAAAGTGCTGGAAGCAGTGTTTTCCTCATTGAAAACAGTGAGGAAAAAAATGAGAAGTCTCTCTGCAATGGTGTGTGTGTGTGTGTGTGTGTGTGTGTGTGTGTGTGTGTATCTGTGTGATATTTTAGGCCTAGCGATCAAAGGGCAAGATGCTCTGATAAGATAAAGCTGATCTTAGCTTCTACTACCCCAATTTGTGCTAGAGATACTGTTTCAACAAAAGAATGAGTGAAACCTGTCTCTAGTGTCTCTAGAGTACAGTTCTGTGAGACATCTGAAGGAACAGCTTCTCAGAGTTCTGGTCCACTCTTGGCCTTAAAAAGAATCTTAAGAGTCTGGCTGTTTCCTTCTCAGGAGTAACCACAATGTGACCTTAAAAACACTGCAGTTCCACACCCATATCACAATATCTATACCCTTGACTTGCTGTATTAATATACATACATACATACATACTTACACACATTTATTTAACATTTATTAATTGCAAATTCAAGGTTTCCCCTAGTACTTTTTGGAGTCACACGAGTGAAAAACAAAGATAAACCTCCCCTCGAGGTGCTTCTGGGTTAATCCAATGAGTGCAGTTGCAATCCGTGTGTTTAGGGCTTTGCTCCTTGTGAACCAGGGACTTAATGGCAGAGCAATGCAGTAGAGTATCAGAAAATACTCTAAATTAAATGATACACAACCTGAATACTCATCCTTGATTTGACAAAACAGGTATATGACAAATTATTTACCCATGCCGTATGAGCTGGAAAATACTCAGCATGCGCACATGTCCCTACATTTGTGGTTATACAGGCATTACTCAAAAACGTGCTTCTTTTAAAATATTTTTATTAATTCTTTGAGAATTTCATGCAATGCATTTTTATCATATCCTCCCACTGATCCTCCTAACTCCTCCCAGACCTACCTCCTTCTCTCTGCGGCATGCCTTTTTTTTAATTTTAATAACCTATTGTGCTGTCCATACACTTCTGGCTGTGAGGCCATCCACTGAGTCTGGTTGACATACCAGGGCCCACATCTTTAAAGAAAACTGACTCTCCCTCCCCCAGAAACCATCACCTGTCCATAGATCCTCACATAGATAGGAGCTGTGGGTTCCTGCCTCCTATGTGCTAGAATGTTGACTGTCTTGATCTTATACAGGTCTTGTGCAGGCAACCACAGTTGCTGCCAGTTCATGAGTGCAGTGGTCCTGTGATGTCCAGAAGATGCTGTTTCACTCCAGTCCTCCCTGACCTCTGACTCACAATCTTTCAGCCTCCTCTTCCACATTTGTCCTGAGCCTTGCTGAGGCAGGGTATAGGTATTACAATTCTGACTTTAAAATATTTCTTTTTCATTTTTATTGAATTTTTGTATATTTCATACAGAACATCTCAATCTTAATCATCTTTATACCCCTTTACCCACCAGTCTCCCAAATAGCTCCCACACTGAAATTCGTACATTCTGTCATTTGTCTTTAAGGCCTATTGTATCAAGTTACTCTACATCCCTCAGTACAAGTTCACCTACTGAGGTCTAGTCAGCCTATCTAGAATCTTCTGCTTTAGGAGAGAAGCTCTTCCTCACCTAGCAGTAATCAGCTGCCAATATTTCTTCTGCTAAGATTGGGGTCTGCTGTCCATTTCCCTAGTTCTAAGCTGGGATTTTGTCTGTTTGAGTTTGCATGAGTCTTGTGCATGCTGACACCACTGCTGTAGGTCCATATAAGCTTGTAGGTCCCAGGAGCTTGTAGGACTCTATTTCCACATGGTCATGTACCTCCTCCCTGGCTCTTACAACCTTCCTGCATCCTCTTCCTCAATGGTCCCTGAGCCCTGGGCGGGTGAAGTTTAATATAGAAGTCCTGTCCAAGGACCAGCATTCTGCAGACTCTTAATCTCTATGCTAAGTGACACATCTGCAATGCAACCTCTACACCAAGGGCTCACAAAACAAAAAGGGGTAAAGAGGACACCAATGAATATCTCAATTCTCATTACTGAAACTTCCTCGTGCAACAGACAGCTAGGAACACAAAAGGTCACAAATAATTAAAATGTTCCCTAAAAGGACATAATTGTTATGTTTAAAGTTGGCTAGATTCTACATAAATCTTCATACTTAAGTATATCAAGTAAGATTGGAGAAAGAGCATTGAAGACAAATCATTTTTCTATGTCTCCACTGGAGGGTAGCATTTCAAAAGACAAAATCTTTCCCAGCGCCAAAGCAGAGTTTGAGGTTGGAGGAAAAGAGGGTGGAGGGTAAGTTAGTCACCTGTTATCTCAGAAACTTCTACGTCTGGTCCCAGATTAAAATAGCTATGGGCACATGTTCTGTCCCAGACAAGCCTCTTTCAGAAGCACCGGAGTTGGTACTTTGCCCTCTGTGACCAGAAGAAAAGATGCTCCTGAAAGTCTCTGTGTTGCTCTTTGGGATTCAAGTGACATGTATGTACAAGGGATTCCCAATTAAGTTAGCAGAAACTATTAAGGAGAGAAGAAATCTCTGGGGGCAAGTTATTGCATGTCCAAGTAGAAAAGATCAGAGGGACAGAGGGACAGAGCGAGGGAGGAAAATGATCTCTTCAACTTCGGAAGGAATCCCTAAATCCTGTCCTCAGTGTCTTCTGGGCCTTTTCTTTCTGTTAAAACACGTGAACTTTACATTGTGTTGGACTAGCTGTGTGTCCGTACAGCCTGTATTGGTCATATCCATTGACCATCTTTCTGTCCTCCCACAGCCCCCCAGGCATACTTCCCAGTCCCTAGCAATCGCTATCTTTAGGTCCACTTTTTCTTTTTTGGTTTACACACAAATAAGAACATGTACACATGACTTTCTGGGTCAGGTTTATTTTTCTTAACATTGTCCTATTTTGTTTTTAATCAGGGTTGAGTGCCCAGCTGGAGCAGAGTCCTCGATTTCTGAGCATCCACGAGGGGCAAGATCTCACCATGTACTGCAACTCCTCAAGTACTTTCCCAAAATTTTACTGGTACAGACAGGAGCCTGGAGAAGGCCCTGTCCTCTTGATGACACTTGTCAAAAGTGGAGAAGTAAAGGAACAGGAGAGGATAACCGCTCAGTTTGGGGAAGCAAGAAAGGACAGCTCCCTGCGCATCCTCACAGCCCAGCCTGGGGATGCAGGCATCTACCTCTGCGCAGGAGCACAGTGCTCTTAGGGCTTCTCCAACCTGCACCCAAACCCCGCTGCTGCAGCTCCCCATCACACTGCTGCCACGTGCCTCCAGCTGCTCCTTACACAGTCATAGGCATGAACAAAGAAACATACACACCCCCAAGACCCATTTCCGCTGACTTTCTAGAAAATATTTCTCACAAACATTACCCCTCTGCTGTAAGACAAGGTTCTAGAGGGAGATATGGTTTGCTATTAGAATCAGTAACAATATGGGAAAAAAGCTCCCCAGAGTAGATGATGGGAAAGCTAAGGAAGTGGATATGGAAGACAAACAGAAACTGTCAGACAGAAGGTTTCATGGTTCAAAAACCCAACGCTTCGTTTTACACATTCTTGTAGCTCCAGATGGTCATATAAAGCAACTCTGGCCAGCGACATGTGATCATAAATCTGCTGGCAGTCCTGTGGTACGATCCTGTCCTCCTATCCCCTTTCCTTTCTAGAACATGGAAGTGTAACTTTAGTATAAGGAAAGTGGGAACATAAGCACCTCCCAGTCCCATGCCTAATAATCCTCATGTGAATCAAATGTCACTCCAATGGAATTTTTTTTTGCATAAAACATTTTTAAAAACATTTTGCAACTATAGGTAAACACAATCCTAACTGAAATGGCAAACTTACTCCATTTTGCTCTGACTGACTGTTGCTTTACCCTGCGTTTTTGCCCAGCCGTTCCCATTGCAGCCAACCAGGCAGAGCACCTCATGCAAGGCAGTTTCAGGGCATACATTGTTTCTATAATACTGGGAAACTTACAAGTAGCCAGGTAGCACGTCCTCTCTCCAAACTATGCCTGCATCTCCATGGAGTCCACTGTTTCTGCAGTTCTGAGACACTTGTCTTTTCCTTATCGAAACATTTTGTTAAATGAAAACTGCTTTGTTAACTGATCTGTCCCTGGTCTAGTGTAACTATGGTGACCTGATGTAACTACGGTTATTATAATGTAATTGTGGTTTTAAGCTTTAAAACCCCTGCCCTGCTTCTCCTCAGGGTCCAGAGTTCTTTTGGGCATTATCTTCCTCTCTGACTGCCAAGTACTAAAAAAAGATTCCTAATTCAACTGTTGCTATGTGGCATTCCTCTGCACACCTTGCTCACTTTTACACTGCTGTAATTCAGTAAGATTGACTGAAAATGTCTTGGCAGTTTTTTCTGTGCATGTATAAGTACAGGAAAAGAAGTATGAAAAATTGTGCTTTACAAGAAAGAGACCTTCTTTTCCACAGATTTTATATATATTTTTAAATCATTCATATTTTTATAATGAAAAAAAACTTTCATTAGTGAAGCCTTACTTCTAAAATCAAGCCCATATCAATCTCTTACATTCATGGAACATTATAGAATCCAGCTTTCCATTCCAAGTCTTGTAATCAAGCCAATATAAATTTCCATGCAAATAATTGATAACTACATCTTCATGGGTTTTTTTTACATTTATCCAAAGATTTATTTCCAAAGGTTTATTCCATGTTTTATGATCAAAATAAAGCAGCATATTTATTTTTAAATTTTTGTTTATTGAGAATTTCATACATGAGCACTGTATTTACGTCACACCACCCCCTTTAACCTCTCCAATTCCTCCCCTTACATTCTCCCTCTCCTCTCAACTTCATGTCCCCTTCCTTGATTATTATCGTTTTGCACACACACGCACACACACACACACACACACACACACGCACATATAACTAAGTCCACTTAATGGTGCTGAAGTGTGCATATGTTTATGACTGACCACTTGGAATTGGGATTGGGTAGCCCCTCAGGATATTCATCTTCAGAGAAAACGTACTTTTCCATGTATTTTTTAACTTGACAGTACTACAGTGCCCACTTCAAAAGCAACCCTTGAGAATTTTATCACATGACACACCATCATTCTAAAAGTTTAAGAAAAAAACTTAGATAAAAAAATAAGAAAAGGGGGGCTGGAGAGATGGCTCAGTGGTTAAGAGCACTGGCGGCTCTTGCAGAGGACCTGGGTTCGATTCCCAGCACCCACATGGCGGCTACGAACCGTCCTTAACTCCAGTTCCAGGGGTATCCGAAGCCCTCTTCTGACCTCCATGGCATTGCACGACATAGGTGCACTCACAATACATGCAGGGAATACACTCATGGACATAAAATAAAAATAATAAATATAAAAATAAGAAGATGGTTCAGTGGGTTAAAAGCAAGTGCCTCTCTTCCATAGGGCCCAAGTTCAATTCCCGGTACCCACATCAAGCAACTCATAGTCACTTACAGCTCCAGTTCCAAGTGATCTGGCATCCTCTTCTGGCCTCTGCATGTACCCACACACACATGGCATACATACACAAACACACATCCACATAAATAACAACAGACGTTTTTTAAAAATAAAAAAACAATTTTAATTCTCCCTAGTAGCAGAATGAGAAGTGGCACTCTCTGCTTCCCTTTTCACCCAGCACTTACTTTGGGGGACTTATTGTGAATTCTTTCTCTGCCCCTTTGAGATGTACATAAATCTTTTTAAAAGCTAAATAAGCCTCATGACAGTTTTATTAAGTTAGAACTCTCTTTCTCAAGGACCTGAGATTCCTAACTGTAAAATGCCATCATCAATGGACACACTGTCCCATCTCTCGGCTCTCTTGGGAGGGGAAGTAGTTAACCTTGGAGTCATTTTTCCTTTGGAAAGTGTAGCTAGCTGCCTCGATTACAAAGTAAGCTGAGATGGTGAGAAATGTGATGCCGAGCCTTCTTATGTGAGAACTCGGCTGTTTATCTTCCGAAATCATATGCTTGGCACAGCTGCTTGGCTGTAAGGAAGGGTAAGATGTCTTTCTGTCTTGCAATGTCTTTAGCAAATGTGCACACTTTCTGGTTTCAAGATTAGTAAATAATAAAACTGTTTTCTTTCTCTTCTACCTTTTGTGGAAAGATGTTCTTGATTGTGGAAGGTTTGCCTGCATTTCCACAGCAAGACTGTCTGACGCCCTTTCATCATTATTGTGTTTACGAGTCTCTCTCCTTGAAAAGCAACACAAACACTGAAAAAATGAGAGTATTTGTCATTTACTGACTGTGTGATTTGGGGAATTCCTTTTTACTTACAAGAGCTATACAAGGTAAGTGTGGTTCATGGAGGATTACCAACCTCCATCAGCTACACTCAAATTTTCAGCGGTGTCCCAGTATGTATTCAACTCAGGGAATATATGTACATGATGCAGCTCCTTCTTGCAAAGAACTTACTCATAGTGACAGAAGTCCATCAGCTAGCTTCCAAGTCACCATTCTCCAGAGGCCAAAACTTAAAGAATCCTCATCTACAGCAGTAATTTCCAAGAACAAAGAGACACTCTTCATCCTCCAGAATGACTCTGTGCCTTCCTGACACATACACTGCTGATCTGCAGTCCAGGGGGTGCAACAGCCCTGTCCAGTCCAATTTTGCAGCAGTCCTCTCTGACTCTTACCATCTCTCCAGCCCCTCTTCTGTATGTTCCCTGAACCTTGGGAAGAGGGAGTGCGATATACAGGTCCCATTTAGAGCTGAACACTCCACAATCGCTTCTTCTCTGCATATGACAGGGCCCCTGCACCCATAAACTCACAACAGCTGAAGTCAGCCTTCCATCAGAGATGGGGTTGGAGTACACGAGGCCTCATGTCTAGCCAAGGAGCTGTTAGCAATTGATGGCTGCTGGGAAACAGGACTTAGTTTTCTTCCACAGTGTGGTCCCTGAGAGGTTGCCCAGGCTCCAGTGAATGGCCCCCTAATCCACATGCATATGGGCAGCACTAATTAGACTCAATAAACAAATATAAATAGACTCAAAAAGAAATAAAAATAGGAACAGGACATAAAGTTGGAGTGGAGTGTGGCAAGGAGGAGAAGGAGAGAAGAAAGGAAGGTGAATATGATCAAAATATGTTGTACACATGTATGAAATTCTCAGAGAAAAAAATGTCTAAGTCCAGGCAGACAGTCGCATTGCTGCCCAGGATGTGCTGCTAGCTCCGGGCTTTTGTCCTCACTGTAACCTGAGAAAAACACCCTTCGCTTTGAGGAGGAGTAACAACTACGTGAAGAATAAGAATTTCTGAAGTGGGAGAGGGCTGATGATGTAAACTGGGGATGGGGACCATATAGTCTTACCAGGAATTCTTCTTATCTCCAAGATTCAATATGAAGCTTGAGATTAAGCAAAACAATTTGTTTCACACTGATTTAATTTTAGTCTCATAATTTCATATTTCTTTTTGTTTATTTGTTTGTTTGGGTTTTGAGACAGGGTCTCTTGTAGCCTCAGTTGACCTGGAACTCATCGTATAGACCAGGCTGACCTGGATCTCACAGAGATCCATCTGCCTCTGCCTCTGCCTCCTGAAATCTGAGATTAAAAGCATGTACCGCCATGCCCCATCCATGAATCCAAAATATGAGATTTCTGTCTTTGTCTAGAAAAAAAGATTGTTCTTCAAAAATCATGACTCTATCACATGTAAGATCAGAAAGTCAAGGACAAGAAAAATAAGGAAAAAGAAAAACATAACTAAAGAAGATTTAAAGTGCAGCTGGGATAGAGGGTGAAGAACTAAAGACAAGAGGAAATGACAGGATTGCTTGAACTGAGAAGCAACAGACTCTTTTACTATTTGGGGTCCAAATGACAGACTCATTTAAGGGTGAGGCTGTCCTGGGCACTGCAGGGCATCTTTTCCTTTCCTGTACCCAAGCAGTATTCTCAGCTTGCGCTCCTCAGATGCCGGCAGCGACCCTCAATCAACCCTCAGAAATGGGAAACACCGTGTCTTCAGACACTGCCAAAAGCCCCCTTGGGGGCCACAATGGCCCTGGCTGAAAACTGACATCTATATGCTAAATATTGAACTGATAGAATAGAAACAAACTTGGAGAGTCAGTATGTAGCTATAGGTCAAATGTCCTGGACTGCTATTTTGTCATTTAACTCC